CGGAGACTCTGTACGGTCTAGGTTTTCTTTTGGTCAAGAGGCTGAAGGCAGGGGCATTATTGACGCAAAGTTTTTTTATTCCGATAACGTAAGTTGATAATGCTCCATACATATGCATTATAAAGGCTATTTAATTATAAATTATCTATTTTAATGTTTTGTAGAGAACTGGGATCGCCTCTTTGACAGCAGGCGGAAGATTTTATTTGGTAACAAATGTAGAAAATGGTTTGGTCCGTCAATGGGCTGAGCTACCAGGTGTTTCAAAAATTCCTTCATATTGGCATGTATTAACTTTGCCTAACAAGAGTTCTACTTGTACAAGTAAAGGTCCTTGGATTTTAGCTGCCAGAGGCAGGGAGCTCTATAGAATTGATGTTGGAGTTGCTGAATTGGTATGACACAGATTTATGCTGCAAATTGTATACGTTTCCATGTCCTTTAATTTATATCGGTATTCACAAAATAATATACATGTGCATGGATGGATTAAATATTTCCTATTTGCGTTGCATTTTTTGCTTTGTATGAGTACATTCTTACATAAAATTATTTTACTTCAGATTGATCCATCCCCAGCTATAAAATCCATGACGCACACTTCCATCCATCTCATAGCAATTTCTTCAAACCAGCAATTGGTTGCTCTTTATTTGGACAATGGAGTACTTTGGATAGGTGACACTGCATTCCAAAAGTGTCATTGCGAAATCTTTTTGCCTGATCGGATAGATGCCTTTAATTCAGGCTCAAAAGATTCGGTCGATTCTACTTTCCAAAATCCCATCAAGATCCTCTGGTCAACAGTTTGTGCTGTGGTGCTTCAATGGACTAATTTTGTTGTTCTCGTTGGACCACATGAGGATATTTACGAGTTTTTTTATCCAGAAGATGTCTACTTGGAGCAAGAAGTATGCTTAGTATTGAATATATAATCTTTATAGTCATACCTTTTAATGTTGCGCTTATCTTCAATTTGATTGTTTTAGTAGGATCTGTCAGGGCGACCTGGCTGGATGCACTTTGTTAGACTAATTCTATGCATCGAAGAGAAACTGGATCCAAAATAGAGGCCATAATAACTTGATCTCTACATCTACATTTGACCTGTTTAGTCTATTGCTGGGGAGACTTACGTTTCGTATGAAAGCGCATGCAAAAGGGATTCGAAGATTGAAAACGAGAAAGAGAAATCGTAAGGAGGCCACAGAGGAGCAATAAGAAATAAAGGAGAGATGTCTACAGTGAGCCTAATCAAAACCTATAGACAACAACATTTGGGGGCTCGCACATAATAGACTAGGGCATATGAAGTCATAGACTTGGCATTATGGATAGGAGCACGATAGATGCGACGGATAATAGAGCTAGTTGGCTAACAATATATGCTTTTATTAAATGAGTAGGTTGTCTTCACTCTATTTCGTTTAAGGTGGTGAAGAACTGGTAGTTGATTTTTACCACAATGATATGAGAAAAGCTTATGTTTTCTACTAAATTTCATATAACCTTCCTTTCCCAAAAGGTATTCTCATCCAAGCTGAAGTGAATGGCACTTTCGGCTTCGCATAGATCTTATCAACACCTCAAGCGGGAGTTGAACAATTAGCATGTAGCTTGTGAGCTCGACATGTTAACCACTACGCCACATTGCCCTTGGGTCAGTGCAAATGTGAATTTCAAGAATGTCAGGCATTTTCCATATCACATTCTGTGTTGAGATTGTCGATGAAGCAAACTTATATTTGTTATAGCAATCGGCCACATTCCTTGAAATCCACATCTGTCCTGTGACCTAAGGGCACTCTTGGCAATGTGGCGTAGTGGTTAACGTATCGAGCTTATACGCTGCACTGTCATGATTTGACTCACGCTTGGAGTTTTGATAAGGCCTATGCGAGATGTAAACTGCAGTCCACTCTAGCCTGGATGAGAGCACCTTTTACGAAAGCAGGGCTATATGAAATTCAATGAAAAACATCAGCTCCACTAATATGATTGTGGAAAAAATCAAGCGGGAGACTGATAGGACCTAAGGGAAGAGGATTTCGGACGAATAGGGCAGACTGATTAGGTAGGGATGTGGGAATCAGCGGGTAATGTCAATATTTCTCATTAAATCTGCTCGATAAGGCATAGCTAAACT